AAGGAAGGAAGGAAGGAAGGAAGGAAGGAAGGAAGGAAGGAAGGAAGGAAGATAGCAATAGCACTTAGACTTCACAGTGCGTAGCCCCTCTCCAAATGGTTTACAGAGTCAGCCTTTTGCCCCCAACAATCCAGGTCCTCATTTCGCCCACCTCGAAAGGACGGAAGGCTGAGTCGACCTTGAGCCCGGTGAGATTCGAACTGCCAAATTGCAGTAAGAGTAGCTTGCAGTACTGCACTCTAACCACTGCGCCACCGAGGCTCTTAATAAGTGTGTGAAACGGTCATAATCCCCTTTTTCAGTGCTGTTGTAACTTTGGTCACTAAATGAACGGTTGTAAGTCGAGAACCACCTGTATGGGATGACTTCACCCTCTTTCCTTTCTCGGTTGTAAATGGTATAGATAAAGACCTGCGCACAAAAGGATTCAGCTTGGAGTCCTGCCGAAGTATGGTGAACCTCATGGATGTATCCTATTTTTCACAGTGTGAGAAGGGGAGGCCCATTTGTCCTTTGGGTTGCAGAATTACAGAATAACTGAGCTGGAAGGGACCTTGTGAGGTCTTCTAGTCCAACCCCCTGCTCAAGCAGGAGACCCCATAGCATTCCAGACAAACGGTTTGTCCAGTCTCTTCTTTAAAAGTGTGATGGAGCACACACAATTTCTGGATAGAAGTTTAATTAATCGTCCTCACAGTCAGGAAGTTCCTTCTTCGTTCTAGGTTGGATCTCTGTTTGATAATCTTGGATTGAATTTAAGTGAAATTTAAAAAATTTTTATTTCTTTTTTAAAAAAATGATTTCCTGGCGAAACAGACTTGAGTCTTTCTACTGCTGTCCTGGGGTTGCTTTAAAAATTCCTTCCGGATTTCTCTGAAAACTATTTTTCATTACAAACATCACCTCCAAAGGATGCTAGAAAATTAATCAAAATTAATCAAGGAGAATATTTGTAGCTCAGGATTGACATTGTGTGTGTGTGTGGGGGGGTGTCCTTGGTGGTCTCTGAGCTTGCTTGTTTTCTTGCAGACGTTTCATGACCCAACTAGGTAACTTTATCAGTGCTAGAAAGGAAAAGCGCAAACTCCACCCTCTTCTAGCACTGATGATGTTACCTGGTTTGGGTCATGAAATGTTTGCAAGAAAACAAGCAAGCTCAGAGACCACCAAGAACCCCCAATGCCATTCTTGAATTGTTATTTTCTCTTCTTGGTCCTGATATTGTTCTGCAGTCTTCCTGATTATTCTCCCACATTGAAAATGCTCTGGAAATCAGGAGAATTACAGAATTTAGAAGGGTCCTTAGAGGTCTTCTAGACCAACCCCTTGCTCAAGTCATCGAGATTGCAGACAACAGAAAGAAGAATTGTGCACAAATAAGAATATTCATATAGCCTCTTGGCTTCCTTATTATTAACTGGTGATTTGTTTCCCCCAATCTTCCCCTCTCTGTACAAATTATCCCAGTTGTTGGCTATCTAATCTTGGTTTTTAGGATCTTTAGCAAGTTCCAAACCAGCTTCAAACCAGGAATGGAGGCTTTTTTCTCTGATAAGGACGGATGCTACCTTGATTCAGCTGAATGATCACAAAGGGATTTTTTTTCCTGTGGTTGGGAGGGAGGGGTGAATTTCCTCAAGAGTGTCTCCTTAACAGCCCCTTCCTCTATCAGAAAGACGGGAATGGAAAACTCGGCTTGGTGGAGTTTAATGTCCTTTGGACAAAGATTAAAAACTATCTGGTAAGTTTCCATCCACTTAGCTGATTTAAAACAGGAACATCTCAGCCACGTTTGCAAAACCATGTTTGCATTTCATAAACAGCTAAAATAATAATATATTATGATTTTTTCAGCAGAAATATTTATTATATTCAGCATGATTTTATTTAGCGGGTTTGTTTTTTTTTTCTTATCTCCTAAAACTATGGACATCGTCCATGTGTAATAATAAGCTGTTTGAATTTCTGCAGAATCCCCTTCCCTCTCATTTGTCTTTCCTTTAAAAACTTTTCAGGCCGTCTTCCGGAAGTTTGACTTGGACAAGTCAGGAAGCATGAGTTCCTACGAAATGCGAATGGCTCTGGAATCTGCAGGTGACGTGCTCATTTCTTGGAACATTTGGCTTTTTTCCCCCCGTTTCTCAACTGCCTGTGCAGCAGACTAGTCCTCAAGGAGGGCTAAAAATACCAGTAATAATTAAAGCCCTGCCAGGTTTTCAATTGGACAAGGATTAATTTAATTTAAATTCAATCCATTGCAATTTAAATCCTACCTTTTCTGTGAGAGCTCCAGGAAACCCCACAGGTGTGACAAGTACAGTCCTGTGGTGTTGGTCACATTAGGAATGTCTGTTTGGCCCCACATCACCCAAACAAGTAGGGGACTTGAATTGGGTCTCCAGTGTCTTCACTCTCTGTTTCTCAACTTCTGAAAGTTTAAGACGGGTGGACTTCAATTCCCAGAATTCCCTAGCCAGCATGCTTTAAACTGGGTGGACTTCAACTCCCAGAATTCCCCAGCCATCTTGCTTTAAGTGTCAGTGAGGTGAGAAAGAAACTTTTTCGATTTTAAAGGGATGAGAAAAGTTTAAATATCTTAGAATAGTGTTTAGCAACTTTAAGATGGGTGGGCTTCAAGTCCCAGAATCCCCCAGCCAGTGTGTCATAAGATGGGTGGACTTCAACTCCCAGAATTCCTCAGCCAACATGCTTTAAGTTGGATGAACCAACTCCCAGAAACCCCCAGGCAGCGTGCTTTAAGATGGGTGAAATTCCCAGGATTTCCTAACTCGCATGCTTTAAGATGGGTGGACTTCCAACTCCCAGAATTCCCCAGCCAGCTTGCTTTAAGATGGGTGGACTTCAATTCCCAGAATTCTCCAGCCAGTTTGCTTTGAGATGGGTGGACTTCAATTCCCAGAATCCTCCAGCCAGTTTGCTTTGAGATGGGTGGACTTCAATTCCCAGAATTCCCCAATTTGCTTTAAGATGGCTGGACTTCCAACTCCCAGAATCCCCCAGCCAGCGTGCTTGGAGTAAAAGTGGACACCTCTTAAAAGTTGCTGGAGTTGTGAAAACGCTGCCTGAATGTCTTAACATCCTGCTGGTGCCCAATTGTAAAACACACACAGACACGCACCCTTTGCACTCTGCACATGCCTTAATTTTAGCCTTCTCCTTCTCTGCCTTCCCCTGAATGGGAAATTGACACACCGCTCTTTGCCTCCCAGCAGGTTTCAAACTTAACAAGAGACTCTACGAGTTGATCATCACTCGCTACGCGGAGCCCGACTTGGCCTTAGATTTCGACAACTTTGTCTGCTGTTTGGTGCGGCTGGAAACCATGTTCCGTGAGTTCTCCCCCCCCCTCCCCCCCGGTGTTTGGGGAGGGTGGGGCACAACCGAGTAAACCAGAAGACCCCGAATTAAGCCACCTTATTGTACAGGGAGTCCTCGATTTTACAAACCCCCCCCCCAGCAAGCCCAACGTTTCTGCCGCTAACGCGAGACATTTGCGAAGGGAGGTTTGCCCCCTTTTTGCGACCGTTCTCGCCTCATTTCTTAAGTGGATCCCCGCGGTTGTTAAGTGAGGAGCACGGTTGTTAAGTGAGTCTAGTTTTTCCTCTTGAGTTGGATTGTCAGAAGGTCGCCAAAGGGGAAATCACGGTGACCCTGGGGTGCTGCGACCGTCAGAAATGTGAGTCGGTCGCCACGGTTCTGAATTTTGCTTGTCTGACGTGGGGATGCTGCAACAGTTGTTAAGGGTGAAAAATGGTCATAAGTCACTTTTTTCACTGCCAGTGTAACTTCAAATGGTCACTAATTGAACAATTGTAAGTTGAGGACGACTTGTGTTCTCAGCATCCTCCAGTTTTCTGTTATTTTTCTGTTCTATGAATTAGAGGGGTTGGACTAGAAGACCTCCAAGGCCCCTTCCAGCCCTATGATGCTGTCTTTTAATACGGAATAGAGTAGAGTAGAGTAGAATAAAGAATAGAATTAGAATTAGAATTAGAATTAGAATTAGAATTAGAATAGAATAGAATAGAATAGAATAGAATAGAATAGAATAAGGAA